GGAACAGCTCCTTCTTTGCACCATGGACAGCTCACTGGTAAGTAAAAATAGTAAAGATGTTTCAAAATGGTTCAAGCTGGCCCATGCCACCTTCCTTCTATGGCTGATTGTTCCGTCTGAGGAATTCAAAAAATCCACCTGGCGGTAAAGGCACGTGTAGCTGGTAAGCATTTCGAGTTCTTTGTCATTCGCGTAGACAGGTCCCTCAGGACAACGCTCAGAAATTACGCTATATTTATTTCGAAACGTGAGAGGTGTCCAGCTACTTGCTCAGCAAAGATGATTGCGTAGAACAGTAACAGAGTGGCTGCATTACGGATTCGGCCACCAACATTACGGATTCGGCCATCAGTTATTCAAAGCATAATCATAATCTCGCCATTATACAAGAAGAAACTCACGTGAACCTTCCTGTGTGTATTTGAAATTCGGCGTTGGTTTGGTCGGCACCAGCGGGGCAAAGCTAGACGGCATGAAGTCGAGGACGCGTTGGTGAAACGAGAAACGCATACACTTCTGCAGCACCTCCTGGACAAACAGCTGCTTCGGAGCCAACGGATTCATTGTCAGACAGTCCGCCCAGTCTTCCCACGACCACCGAAACTGGAAGTTGGATAAGTGATACGAGAACCAGTCGATGAACCTAAGGCCAAAGCGAAAAATTAACAAAACCAAAAAGAAACGGGCAAATGCAGCTTGTATAAAGACAAACACCTTCCAACCGGCGACTTTTCGCTCGTTTCTGCAAGCGAATCTACATGCCAACAAATAAGCTTCTTTAGAATTGCTTCTGTGATTAGACTAGAACCAACGAATGCATTCTTTTCAAAATATCTATCACTTATGAGGGCAGACGAGGATAAGCGTGAAACCCGTTACTTTAAGCAATATTCAGAGTCATTCTATGTCATATTTGTAACTTCAGAAATGCATCCAGTGACAAGAAATCAATTGCAAACAAGAAAAGTGAAACAACAAAATATCCCAGTTAATCACAATGGTCAACAGACAACCGTCATTGTTTAATCTAGGTAGTTACCTGTCAATGCACTGCACTTGCATGGAGTCTAGACGTTGGTAGAGCATTTCGGCTGCCTGCGCCAACACTTGCGGCATGCTGTTCGGCTGCAGCTTGCACAGCTCGATCATCAACGATCCGTAGAATAGCTCTATAAACGGTGACCTCGGTAGACGGAACATCTGGCCGAAGATCACCTCGAGAATAACGTAATGAAGAGGAACTGAGTCTTTCTTGCTGTGGTTCAACAAGGCAGCCGCGCTGTAAGCAAACCGGTAACGTGTAAGCCAGATGCATGCACATAAAATAATGCTTACCATTCTTTCCTGTTATTCAAGTACTTCTCAATCAACCAAGTGAGGTCCTGTTCAATCAAATGGCGGTCGATGCAGTGCGGTGCAGGCAAAGGAGGACCCTGCATCAACATGATAAATGAACGAAGGAATCGTAAATGTGCGATTCTGTACGCTGGCACCTACCTCATCGATGCAGTCACTCATGTCGAACATGCGGAAAGTTGCTCTAGGCAGAGGGTAGAAAGGAAGATCTGTGACCTGAGCCGGAGGTGGGGTAAAACTCGGCAGATCATGCTGAAGCGCGTTGCACAATACGGCATCGAATGCCACATGATGCTTCACCACGCAATCCGTCTGCCATTTGTTCTCTTGCAGATTCTTCACCTGCGCCCACAAACACTCTAAATACTACATCGAACGTTCACCATAAATTAACTAGTATTTCAACAACCCAGTAAAACACACAGTTACCTCTTCCTGAACATGAGGTTCATCATTCGTCCAAACTTTTAACAACGGCATATAGGTCGTCTTCCGGATGCTACAATGTTTGATCATCACACATAACGTCACAATGCACACAACTGAGGAAACAGAATAACCAGTCAGTGGTCCGCTGTAGAAGTCATATTCGATAGGTTCATGGCGGAATGAATAAAATATTAGCCTTGCCATTAGTAAATCCCAATTAAACGCCAGAATTCATTGATCTCAATTCTGAAACTCAAACAATGAAAATTATTAACGATTCCATTTCTTTTGCTGGTTCATGGTTCAAGCCAAACCATTTACACGAGCGATAATAGCTGGCTCTATTGACCAACGCGTGTCGCACACTGGTGTCATATCAGGAAAACCACGAATGAAATAGGACGATGCTAAGAGAAACTAAAAATCACATATTCTACGACGTCGAGGTAGTAACCTTCTTGACAGTGTTGAAAAGGTGAAAATGTATGGGACATCAAAATCTGGACATGTTTGGAAACTGCAGATGCCTCCAAATGATTAACAGAACAAACACAAAATCAGTCTGGGTGCCGCCGCAACTTAAAACGAGTGCACAGTTCGAGTTCGCGCAAAACAGAATACCTCGACAAACGACTTTTCAATTACCTTAGGTACTTTTCGATCGATTCTAACAAAGCGTCAAGGTCTGCTTCCGCTTTTTCGGCAATCTCTTTCCCAACGCGCGGGAGACAGTTCAGTACGACGTAAGTATACCAGTCAGATCGAAGCTACGCAGCGTTTAAAAATAAGAGACGGTCAAATATCTACAGTAATGCAACTGAGTTTACCTGAAAGTTGTCCAGCTCCGTGTGCGTGGCGACGAACACCTTTAGCAGGATAAAAAACGACTGAACAGAAACACAGCGACAATTGACGAGGTCGCAAAGAAACAAGACCTGAAAAAAACGTGAAGCACATCGGATCATATGCATGTGAGAAAGAAAAACGATTACCCTCAGGTAGGCCACTCCAAAGAAATAGCTTTTTACACTTTCATGTATGTCTTTCAATAACGCCACGATGAACTGAAAACGATAGGAACTTAATATCGGATGAAACATGTATGGATCGTTACTAGAAGGTTAGATCAGTCATTATTGTGAATTTCAGTTGGTGAAAATTGTGTTCAGGTGAGACAATGGACAATCAAGTGAAAGTTTGGGTGCAATCAGCAACTTGATACTTAACCCTTACTTCGCTACCCGAGTGGCACGCAACTGTTAAAAACATTTGTCAAGGCAGCACCATAAGGATGACTGACTTCGCATTTACTTTCATTCCTTTAGTACTGATGATGTTACCGTGTCGTTAAAAAACATTAAAACTGACTGCTAAGCGAAACGCTAAAATCACTGTTTTACAAATGAATACTAAAGACGAATCAACGAAATATTTGATCGATCCAAATTTTTGTGTCAGCAATAAATGCATCTAGCACAGAAAGTTTTGCTGGAAAGTGAATAACAACAACGGTCAGCAGGAATCATGTATTTGAACCACATACAGAATCCCTCAACGATGAACTTCAGAAACGGCCATCCTGGCGATTTTCAGTCACTCTAAGTGAATGAATCAAACGATCTTCACCAGACGCGGAATACACTGGCAACTTTACCCAAAGAAACAAGGCAATTTCATATGCAAGAAACGTATTATATCAAAACATGAAAAAGCTGGAATTGCACATGCCTTCAACTGCACGTGTGACGCCAGCTTGATTGAAAAAAGAGAATAAAACTCAAATCCAGCATGGCGGAACAAATGACGCGCCTCATCAGCGCAGGTAAGACGGGTACGAAAACAGCATTCTGAAAAATCCAGTGGAAAGGGAAGAAAATAATAAGCAAGAATCAGGAGGAACTCCTTGAAGAAATAATAAACGAACAAATAGCAAGATGAATAGACAGAAGGGAAACTATTCTATTAGTACTGTTCTCGTTGCGACGTCATAGCAGATGTTAATAACCTGAGCTGTGCCCTTAACTGTGTGCTCCAGAGTAATCTACAAGTCATAATTTCTCAAAAACTCAAAAAATCTCTTCTCAAACAAAGTGACAAATTTAGCAACAATTACGGTTCCTTATTTAAACAGCAGACAAGTGCACCAAGTCTGATATATTTCATAGTTAGTTCGCCGAATTCAGATGCAAAATCGTAGCAGATCTTGCTCTAGACTGCAAATGGTGGCATAATTCTTCCTTTGGTACTAAACTACTTAAATATTAAACAACAAATATGGGTCTAAATTCAATAAAGATTTATGAGGAAAAGAAAAAGATAGTTCGTAACTTCTGATAAGTCGGTTTAATCATGGACAAAAGTTTTGATCTTATTCATACTCCATCAATCAGGAATGCCTCCTTTTCAACGAAATGGGACTCGTTTATCTACCTGGGAAGGACGAAAGGCGAGTGATCCGCTCAGGGCTATACGACGCTTTACCAACTGAGCAAACCCTATTTAAAGATTTTAAACATTAATTTACAATCAATCTTTAGATGCCCAGAAAATTTCCCAGTGTAGGAACACTATTATCGATCATTTTGTCGCTTTCGTGCTCTTCGTCCTGGAAATAAAAGAAGTAGCAGATTTCTTAACAATTCTGTTTAAAGATCCAACTGAACCATGGCAAATCCACGAAACCGTAAGAGAAACACACAGATATCACGGAAAACTTCAAAAGCAATAACCTCTCCTCCAAATGAAAAGTCCTTCGCATTTAGGAGGCCAACCAGTGTTGCATACGTCGAAAGTTGCGCTGGACAGTTAACAACGCTGAAATAACAAAAACAGTAGACCGATGATGGAAAGTGCTACATTTACGCTACCAATTCCGCAGTATGTCGATAATGGTCGAACGATGAGTGCTCAGACGTGGTTCAAGCTCCGAGAGCACGTATTCTAAATTAGATTCGACTGATTTGTCCGGCTAAAATCAGACACATTGATCAGAAAAAGCCATTAATCTTTTTCATGTACATCGGTGATCAGTAAAACAACTGGTAGCTAAAAAATAAACTTCACCGAAATTCTAAATCCGCCGGAGAAGGCAGTAAACCATTTCATTCGCGTTACTCTTAGGCTGTCACTCTTACAACCCAACTTCGGCGGCACAGTCAAGAAAACTTCAGTGGCACTTAACCTTGTAAGGGAAAAAGACACGGGAAATTTTATAACCGTTAAGATTTTGGTCTTCCTTTTTTCCATGGAGCCGAAGGCGCAGTGCCGCTTTCTGTTTCAATACCATCAACTGCAAGTGCCATATTTTAAAAGCAGTGTATACAGACATGTGATAAGTACAGGGCTCAGTCTCCGGTTTCCTTTAACGCAATTTCAATTCAGTGGCACTACCTCAGAACGATGAAAAGCGAGTGACCTGACCAGGGGGCTAGAATTCACGATATGTCGACTGCGAATTCGACACTCGAGCGACTCAGCAACAGAGTGCGATGGATCAAAGTACAATTCCATAAAATACGAGGCAAAATAACTTCTTATACTGCATAAAAAATTCAACCATCATAGATAACTTGATGAACCGTCCCTCTCAATCAGTAAATCTTTAGACCAGGAACAACAAAACTGACTGGATACACCTCCTCGAAATGAGTTGACAGCATCTAGAACCAATGATCGTCACAGGAACAAACATAAACGACATGCACAAACGCTCCAACACCGTGAATCAGCTTATGAAAGTATGTATACATTAAACAACCAGTTAACAGCATTGGCATGGCAGAAAAACATTTGAAGCGGAGCTGAAAATTTGAAACATCATAGTCAGAACTAACCTTATCTTCGACGGTTACAATGAGGTTTTCGATTTTGTCCGCTTCTGTGTACCTCCGCTTTTTCCGTCGCTGGCTACCATCTGAAAAAGGTCAGATATCGAAGCCAATAAACAATGACAAAGGCCGACCTTCA